AGTACGATCGCCAGCGCCACATCCCGGTGCTCGGCGGCCACCCCAAAGCTCTCGACCTCTGTTGTGCTGCTATTGATAGGACTCTGAATTCGAGCACGGCCACCCCGAAGCTAGCGATGAAGGTTTGAAGCTATCGAGAACGTTCAAGAAGCAGCAACCCAAGGATCGATTCAGATTGTTGATTATCAAGTCGCTTAGTTTGATAAGCATTGCTACGCACTGAGATTTTGGAGGTGGTTAGATATTGTTTCTTGTGCATTTTTTGGTGATGATGTGAACATGTATTTACATGTGATTTAATTTTAATAAACAATATTTGATTTTATGTCCCTTTTTGTGATATCCTGATTTTGGTGATTCACATTTTCACGTTGAAAATTTTCAATAAAGGACCCTATATATTTGTTAGTTGATAGTGTGAAAAATAGAACTAGAACTAACATACGGTGAGTTAGAACTAACACGCGGTAAGTTAGAACTAACACGCAGTGAGTTAGGACACACACACGATGTTAGGACTAACACAAGAGCCCAAGAACCATGAATTAGAACTAGAACTAACACGCGGTGAGTTAGAACTAACACAAGAGCCTAAGAGCCATGAATTAGAACTAAAACTAACACACGGTGAGTTAGAACTAACATGCGGTGAGTTAGGACTAACACAAGAGCCCAAGAGCCATGAATTAGAATAATAACTAACACACGGTGAGTTAGAACTAATATGCGGTGAGTTAGAACTAACACTGTCATGCCCCGCTTCCCAAAATATCCAGGAATCGGAACGTGAACAAGCCCGTGACGTATTAGATTGAGAAAAAATATACACTATCTTTCTTTTTCTCTTTTTTTTCTTTTCTTCTCAATCCAATACGCTAAGCGTCTAGAAATAAATACAATACGAAGTCACAGGTCTCCGATCACAATAGCAAGAATATAAAGACAACTCAGAAGAAGAAATAAACATATCATCAACAGATCATCCCAGACGTAAAACATGGGTCCAACATACCCTTATTACAAAAACGGTCTAACTAGGAATAAAATACATAGTCCATAATAAAAAGAAGTACTGATAAAATAACTAAATACATCATCAAACTAAAGAAATACTGTAAAAGAGTTCTAGTGTTCATCAGCTAATACAAAAGAAAACTACTACGCTTCAGCTTGTTCTTCTACTCCACCTGCAAGGCGCTCCTACTGAGAATCCTCTGGCTCCTGCACGATTCTGAACTGAGGCTGTCTGTCTCCTAAATCTGACCTACAACCTGAGAGAACAGGAGTACGTCAGCGTGCATGGCACACGGCAAGATCCCAAAGAGAGAAAATAGGAACGGTCGAATGACCAATGCAATAACAATAATAATAAATAGAAACATGCAACTGGAATACTAACAAGCTAGATAAAATCCATCACTAGAGTATAACGATCAGAAGAAATCATAAACA